CCATCAACACCACCCACTCCTCCTCCCCCTCTGTCGGTACTTGATCCCGTTAAATGAGGACGAAGGCGTCATCCAAGTACCGAGCCCACAATTTCGGCCTGTGCTGTTGGAAGACCAGCAACGCGAACCGTTGCAAGACCATCTTAGCTATAAAACATGAAAACGGTAAAGCCAGTGGTTTGCCTTTCACCTAATCGCAGATCGTGCCATCGAATGACCAAACACGCTGCAGCAGTGCCTAGAAATGAGGCTAGCCCTCAAGTTACGGCTTGTTCGATGAGATCCGTCCAAACATTCAAATTCGACGAGGCCGAAATTCTCGCTTGAGGTGACAACCGCGTGAACCACAAGCTGCTTGAATTACGACTCTCAGTCCATTAACAAGTCCAACGAAATTCGCCTTCCAAACTCACTGCTGAGACTTCGACTAGGCGGAGTAATTAGCCGAACGGGGAGCGCACAGGTGAACACTCTTCCCAACTCTAGGGTCGGTGGGTCAGGTGGTCGAGCAAGCATCACATCGACATCCAACGCTCGTGATGAAATTGCAGCAATCAACGACGCGAATGGCGGTCATCAAACATTCATCACACAATGTGCAACGATTCCCGCTGAAGGGGTGGAGGCGTGAATTTTCATAGGTATGCGGTAGCATGGCGACTGCATCCCATAAATACTGCAACCCTTTGTGCATGAGCCACCCGTATCTGTTATTGTCTCTAACGCTGTGTTCATGCAGGAATCCGAAACATCAGGCGAATAAAGCTCTTGTCTCAGCGACCATGTTGTCTTCTTCACGAATGTGAAATACGTCTTGTGGCAGGACACTAGGAGTTTTGAGATTTTGACGCATCGAAGATGCTGCTCCGCTTGCTCGTATTTGCTTTTCGGAGATAATTTCATTTGCTCGACCGAGAGTCCGGGGAGTAGAAGTAAGTGGGGCGCGATTCTTAAAGATGCCATGACCTCGTTTGGTAGGAGACTTGTCCTCGTTGAGTCAGATGGTTCAACAACGCACACGGGTAATTAAATTTCGGTAACAAAGGACTTGACTGCGGTAAATTATTAAATAATCGTAATGCATGCAATCACCAGAGGTGGTTATGGAAGCCTCTATTCTAATAGGCATGAAGTGGCGTAGCAACTCCACTTCTGTGGGCAGGCATGTGTCATTTGAGGTCATCCATCATTGGAGAGATGCAATTTAACACACGCAAATACGGCCTCAATGAAACCCTTATATGGTGAATTCAACGGGAGGTGTAAGGTCTGTTGACGACGGAATTGGGGAAAGTTCGCGCAAAATCATCCAAATATTTTAACGATAACGGAGAAGAAGGCCAATGGAATCGTGCTTGTTCTTGAAAATATCCGTTCACGACCCGCAATTGATGAGGGCATGTGCAGATAACTAACAGGGCATCGACATGCCTGCCGACCATGAAAGAACTTGGCTGACGTCCATTCCTAGACGTGAACGATGGTATGCGTACGCAGCCGCCTAAACAGTGGTAAATATGACTACATGGATCGCCTGTCCGAGACGGCAGAAAACAAAGTTGTCGCTCATACGACCAGATGTTCATTCCCATTGGCTACCTCCACAATGACAGATTTCAGTCTTGTAATGCGCACAGTTATATAATCGGTAAGCAGCTAATTGACGCCTCTTACCCAGCTCATGCTGAGTCTCGATTTCCTGATTCTCATTTCACCGCACTGGTGAGTCATTTTATAATTTACTGACTCATTTGGTGTCCTCACGATCGCATAACACTTTTTTTTGAAACAGAGAAATATAATCTCTCTAGACTAATCTGTGATTCGTTGGTTCTTCGTATATCCACTGTCTGTCAGAAAGCATTTTTGAAACGACGAAACAGATATTCGATTGCATCATCTGCAAAGTACGTTTCGTCGGTTACATTTTTGTCGCACTCGTATAAACGTCTAAGCTACCGGCGTATCGAGGTGGTTAACGAAGCCTGTCGGTCATATGCACCTTTAACTTTCAACAATTAGACGTCACAAGAACAAATCGGCGCTAATTACGTAAGGCAGCGACTGTGACGGTCATCTACAAATGCGTGGGTTCCCTGCCGCCGGACTTTGCACACGACTGTGTAAACAGACTGCGATACTGGCTAAGCACCAAATCGATTGTCACAGGTGAACCAATGGCAGTCTTCCAACGTCTGTGCCGTAGCGTTATAAGTTCACCGCACGGAATGTGAAGAGCACTCATCATGCAGTTCCTACTCGTCCTCCTTTCTGTCTGCGCCCTTTACCGGGGTAGCCTCGCGTGCGCTGCCATGGAAACCACCACCGAGCCGCCTGAAAACCAAATGCCGATCTTGCCTCCTGATGTAGAACCCAGTGCCGAACGCTGCTCCAATTGCCGTCCAATGCTTGGCGGGAAAAGGCCTATGACGCCTGAGGACATTGCCCATCCGGACTTCCGGAGTATTGTGCACAAAAGTCTCATCGACCTGAGAGGCAAATCTAAGGGCTGCATGGATTACGAGCTAGTGGACGTTACGGAAGCCAGCAAGCAGGTGGTGGCCGGCATGAAATATGAGTGGAAAATGACGGTGCGGCCAAAACGTCTTCAGGCGAGTGCTGATTGCCCTGTGGACGACTGTGAAGGCGCCGTCTGCAACAGGCACCACCAGTACAAGTCCTCCGCTTGGGTTCGTCCCTGGTTGAAGAATGAGGAATCGCATCAATTTACGCACGCACGGATCTCTGCCTGAGCGAACTCTTATGCACTGCTGAGAATGGCCACTTTTTGGCATGTTCACGGTGCGTCAAACCTTGATTTTCAAAGAATCAGGATGCTACCAAATGTCTGACACATTTTCAAAATCTCAAACACAATTGTTCATGTAGCATATACTTTTTTCGCGATTTATTCACTTGGGTTTCTTGAAGAGAATTTTCTAACTCTTTGCTGTAGTATTCAGGATTTTGAAAGCATATATTAAAATTGAAAACAGAAGAGAGCACTTCTTTGAGATTACTGTCAACAAGAATAATGACATGGTTCGAGGTCATACCGAGATCTTAAAGCCACATTTGATCGTTGGAAATGGTTATTTTTAAGTATAAGAATGGGGCGTACCGTTTACGCAGTCAGACCATCGGCAAACGCTATATAAGTTCTGAATAGTAAGATAAAGGATACAGTCGGTGCGGGGCTGGAATGAATCGGTGGAATGATGGCTGTTTACACTGATCTCACATAACACCCAATAAATGGATGTTGACTGGCCCTCAGGGCTCACTTTGTGAAATGAAGGAATCGAATATCCGTGGGACTCCTAAATGCATAAATGACCATGGCGGTTGGAGTGCCATGACTGCCATTCGGAATGATTGTGGATAGCTGAGCATGCATCAGCAGCAGCGAGGGGGGAATGACGCTAACTCACAAGTCGCGGTTCAGTAGACGGGACCTGACCACAACCTCAAGTTTAACGAGGCCGAAATTCTCGCAAGAGATGACAACCGCGTGAGCTGCGACCTGCTTGAGTCATGATTCTCCAGTCCCCAGTCGATCCACAAACGCACTGACCTCCCCATCCCAGATGCTGTGCTGAGACTTTGCATGGACCGGGGGGAGGGCAGCGGCTACCTGCACTACCTGCAAATGGCCGAGTCCTGATTGGACTTAGAATCAACAACGATGACTACACCTTGGCTATTAGCGACTCGGGCAAGGACGTACAAGCAATCATCACGTCAAGTAGGAAACGTCAGTGACAATGCGGGAGCTGGTAATTATATTTGGGCATTCGGTCGTGTGACAACCGCGGTCTAGAAATACAGTACTCCCTTTTGTGCCTCCGTCACCCGTATCTGCGACCCTATCTGGTGATGGTTTGAGTGAGAATCCGAAGGGGTCGGGCGAATCAGATACTTGTTCCGGCGATTACGTCTACTTCTGATCTGTTTCCTGGAACTCACCACACTGTCGCACTCTCCCCTCCTCACCCACCTGGCCTCAATGTTAAGACAGAGTCAACAAGATCCGAGGGGAAGGGGGACCGCAAGTGGTTGGCGCGGCGAAAACCTGCACCTGGGCGTACCACCACAATTTCTGATTCACAAAGTTCACGGACCAGCAAAATACGTGAGTGGCGCACGGAGCGCAATTGGTGCGATGTGAGATGTGTGCGAATAGCCGAACATGCAGTAGCAGCATCAGCAGCAGTGAGACAGGATGGCGATGACTCCCAAGTCACGGTTTATTCGACGGGACCCGACCACAGCCTCAAGCCTAACGAGGCCGAAATTCTCGCAAGAGATGACACCCGCGTGAGTCGCGAGCAGCTTGGATCATCGCATTAAGTAAAAAATCTCAGCCATAATATAGGAGGCGTCATTTATATCTAGACATTTGGTCGAGTGGAAACCGCGGTCTGCAAATGCTGAACTCCTTTTTTGTGCCACCGTATCAGATGATGGGTTTGAGTGAGAATCCGAAGCGTTGGGCCAATAAGGCACTTGTTCAAGTGATTGCATTTACTACTGATCTATTTTGTAGAACTCTCCACACTGCTTCTATCGGAAGGGTGAGACATTCAAAATAAGTGGGAGCCCCTGAACCTGCGGCTGACATGCCAGAAATGGCCGTTCCGGTATGCCTTTCTAAATTCGTTAGTTTTAAACGACGAAAACAACGCTGAGGAAAAAGATTAGCGTTTTTTTCAAAAAACGGATGCACTTAGAGCATCTCGGGAGCCCCTAACTGGAAGCACCAGCCTGATCTTCCGGTGTTCGTGTGTGGCAGGGAACTACCACGATGCAGAACAGTCTCGTTCTCTGGGAGGGGGGGGGACGTGAATGAGTCGGCTATTAGCCCGCCACCTGGCGGTCGTACACGTGCGCTGGCCGATTCGTGAGTGGCCGCCCACACCTCCGCTCGTTCAAAGGTCAACCAATCGGAGCGCGCCTGTTGGGCAACACTGCCGGTCTCGTATGACAGTTTGACCGTCGGAACCGACGATGTCAAGCGTGTGATCCACAGCAGGGTGAGAGCAGGGATGGTGACTTGCGTGTGAATCAGTTCATGCTGATGGAAGGCATTCGCAGCATCGACTGCACTCTCTCCTCACCACCCACCTCGGCCCAGTGCCAAGACAGAGTCCAGAAGACCCGAGGGGCAGGAGAGACCACAGTTGGTTGGCGCGGCGAAAACCTGCACCTAGGCGTACCACCACACTCCCTGATCCACAAAGTTCACCGACTAGGATTTTATACCACAGCAAAAAATAGGGGTAGTGGCAGGGAACGCCAGTGTCGCGATGTGAGTCGGCGACAGGCCCTACCTCCACATCCGAAACTTGTCATTTATTGTGTACGTGCAGTTCCCATAAACCCCGCCGGACTCCGGTGTTGCCCCCCTTGTTGGTCCAGCACATCTACTACGTGACCCGTCTTGCACTCTGCGCCTTAGAGGGGTTTAGATGTTGATGTGCGTACAGCTGTTGTTCGATGCTTATGGAGCTTCATGAGCTTTTAGCAGAGATCCTCGAGGAGATTTCCCTAACTGAGACTAAGCCTTCGCTACTTCCCGTCAGCATCCTTCAGAATACCATCGATGTCCTCCAGCTCGGGCGCCACAATGGGTAAAGCATTCGCAGTGTTTTGCACAAAACAACTGACTTAACCACTCAAATACACTGCCCAGGAGTAGGAATTAAACCACAATAAAAACACTACTGATGTAAGTGAAAGTAGCGCATATATAAGGGATAAGGAAGGACTGTACATGATAAAATCCAGTGTGGAGCGTAGACGGCGGTGGCGGGCATTCTTGCGACCGCAGCATCGACGTCTTTGAAACACGCAGCATAAATCAGCATTATATCAATCGCGGATACGCTCACACTGGTGGAAGCACTTCCTTTCGAGGATAGTTATTGAATGGCTCTGCGTTGCAACATTCCCTATGCTGGCCACCGCATGCTCGCGCACCAATATCTCATGGCCCCACTCATGTGAAAATCGCCACTCTTACTTAAGTCCCATCGAAAAAATTGGAGTATTTTCGATTGAGCAGGCGGCCTCTGCACACTGGTCTGGAAAAAGTCGTCCATTAGATTTCACCCTATGCTTTAGGCAGATTAATTTGTTTACGATTAAATTTGAAGAAGAAGAAGAAGAAGAAGAAGAAGAAGAAGAAGAAGAAGAATCGAGCACCGGAACAATTCGTTTATTATCCTGAGCTTTCAGACTCGTACAGGAGTCCATCGTCAGAGGTAGTGGCAGAAACAGGACAAGCGGCAGCTATAAGGCACGTAGACCCAATCATCGACCGACGTCGCACGACTGGAGGTGACTACGAAGGGCTCTGTACGCCGGCGCCAGATCGATACATCGATTGACCGAGTTCTCATCCGAGGCCCAGGCTTCAATCAATTCTCGGCCTGTTTTGTTTTCGGCGTGGGCAACTATTTTGGTGGCTGCGAAGTCAAACTCGTGACCCATTTCGTAGGTGTGGGCGGCCACTTGTGACAATGCGTCGCCTCGCCTCACAGCCAGCTTATGTTCATGTATGCGCGATCCGAGCATGCGTCCAGTCTGTCCTGTGTAATTACAAGGACAATTTTGACACGGAATGCGATACACTACTCCAGATTGCTCTTCAGGTTTTAACCGGTCTTTGATCTTCATGACCCTGTTGCGCATGGTGGCTTTGGGGCGGTGTGCGATTCCAACCCCTAGCTCCGCAGCAATGCGCTCGGTCGCTTCTGAAACACCCTTGATGTATGGCAGAGAATGCCATATCGTCGGTGGCGTTGATGTTTGAGTTCTCTGGTGGCGACCGCGTAGGCAGCGACTTATGAATGCCCTCGGATAGTCATTTTGCACAAACTGGTCGCGGAGATAACGGGCCTCACGCGCTCTATCTTCCAGTTTGCTGCAATGAGTTTGGATCCGTTTGAAGAGTGTCTTCACACAGCTTCGTTTGTGAGCCACCGGATGGTTGCTGTGAAAACTGAGAAGCTGTGTGCTGTTCGTTGCCTTCCTATAAACCGTCGTTTCAAGTTCACCGTTAAGGTTTCGTCTGACGATTAAATTTAGTGTGGTTTTTGCATCAGATCCCCAACTACAATAAATAGCTAGGCTACTCCACCACAGAATAACGGATAAATGCCGTAAATCAAAAATGAACTGATACCGACTTCTTGGGTGTCGTCATCTGATCACTGCCTGCAAACCTACTCTACGGAATGCCCACATTCGTTACCTCCCCAAAACTCAGCCAGCATCATTCAAGCAGAAAACATGTGATCACCCTTGTCAGAGCTGTTATGACGAGCGAGTCGTTGCATGTGTGCGAGGGAGAAAGTGTCTACTTCACTTGACTTAATGGCATGTCACACAGGGTCGCGTGAGGCAAATTGGGTAGGGGATGAGGTTGCGTGCAGACGGGTTGTTTGACCCGGCTAACCACTACCTCCAATTTCTGTCTGCAGTCAGCTCATGTCTTTTCACTGGACTACGGTTATGGGGCAGTAATAGCCATTGATAATTCTGAAGCAGTTCTCCTTTAAATGCACGCAACACAAATTCCCAAACTTCCCTACGTGATATAACCTTGAGGAGCCCCGTCTGCACTGTGAAAGATCTGCCAATACCTGGAAAATATGCGCTGTTTGTATCGCCGAGTTCTGCGGCAGTGGATTAAACACTGGCAAATTTCTGCTTGCGGTTTTCATCACTCTACCAGTGCAGCTGATTCGAA